CTGACACAGTGACTGCTGCCATGGCCTTGAACGTGATAGGGAATGGAAGGTCGGTGCAGTATAGGGCGAGCTTCTGACCTGTTCGTCACGGGGTCTCTGTGAGCCATAGACTGCTCGATGGCCTTTAACAATAACACCACAGGTCAGTGTCTGTTTAAAGTCCTTCCCCACCCCTCTTTTAAAGGTAAAATTTGGATGCGGTGAAATGCCCATATAGAAAAGATAACATTTCATGAGACTGACAAATGCATACACCTGGGTATCCCCAAACTCTGATTTTTCCTTGCTATAATTAGATTTGCCTGTTCTAGAATTTCAGAGAGGGGTCCCTAGAGAATAAAAACTGTGCAAGTTCCCTCAGCATAACATTTCAGAGATTCTTCCATGTTGTCACAAATGTCAGTAATTCATTCTTTTTCATTGCTAAGTAGTATTTAATCATATGGATATAGCAAAACTTATTTATCCAATCTCCTGTTTGTAGACATCTGGGGCTCTTTCTGATTTGGGACTATTATGAACAGAGTTGCTATGAGCATTCTTTTTTTTTATTTTTATTTTTTATTTTTGTGTGAGTGTACCATCAAATCAGATCTGATTGGTACAGGAGGAGATTGTCCCTCCTTTTCCTGGCAGAGCATCTGGTGGATTCGAACCATGTGCCTCTGGGATTGTAGTTGCAGCTCCTTACCACTAGGCCACCAGAGCTCCCCGAGCATTCTTTTATAAGTCTTTTCATAGATATACTTAAAAAATGTCTTTTGTAATTAGTCTCCTTTAAAAAAATTATTGTGTTTTAGGGGAATGTTCACACAGAAAAATCAGTTACTAGTTAACAATTTTTGTACAAATAACTCATGTAATTTGTTACAAGTTTTACAATGTGTCAGCATTCTCCTTGTTTCCTTCTGTTTGTTCTGTTCCTGTTGCTCTAGCTTCCCTGCTTCTCCTGCCTTTTCATCTTTGCCTTTTTTGCTACAACTTGATCATTTGGTTTTATGCAGTTGGTTATTTAAGAGAGCACACTATTCACAAGTGATACTGTTTATTTTGTACGTCAATCTTATTGACATGGAAGGTGACCTTGAATGAAGAGTGGGGTTACTTCCAAGGTCAAAAGGTATCGTAGGACTGAATTTCAGGGGTTCTTCTAGCCTATTGGGCCAAGTAAGTCTGACCTGTTTTCAGAATTTGAATTTTGTTCTATATTTTTCTTTGATTTTATCTGGTACCTTTCATTATCTTCCTGGTCGGAATGGCTGATGAAGGTAGCTAGGCACCGTCGAGTTTTGGTCTTAGTAACCAGTCTGCTTTTAAAAGGGCAATTTACTTCACACAAAGCACTTCTTGTTGCTGTTGTTAGGTGCCGGCAAGTTGACCACAACTCACAGCCACCCTCCGAACAGCAGGTCTGAACCTTGCATGGTCCTGCCCTGTCCTCGTGGTCCCGGATATGCTTGGGCCCATTGTCACGGTCACTGCGTCATCCCATCTGGTTGAGGATTTTCCTCCATTTCTTTGACCCTGCACCTTTCCCAGCCAAGCCCCTCCTGACAGCATGCCCAGTTGATGAGGCAAAGTTTTACCCTCCTTACCTCTAAGGAGCACTCTGACAGACTTGTGTATTCTTTTGGCAGTTTAAAAAAGTCCTTTTGTGAGAACATCTATTGAGAAAAATCTGAGGGAAAAGCAGATCCATATAAAAAACCTTTACTATGTAGAATTAAAACCCTACAGAGGGAAACGTCAAAGTTGTGCAGGTTGCTATAGGTTATCTGTATTTTTTGTTTGCTGGTTCCTTGTCTTCATTTTAGTCTGTTGTTTGTTGTTGTTATTTGCTGTCTAGAAGCTTGCGACTCATCGCCCTGAACTCTGCTCTGTCCTGTGCCAATCGCACTGTCTCCAATACACCCATCCCAATTACCCCAGTCACTGAATCAATCCACCTCGTAGAGGGCCTTCCCCTCCTGCACTGTCCCTCCACCCTACCAAGTATGATGTCCCTCTCCAAGGACCGGTCTCTCCTCACAACATGTACAAAGTATGTTAGACGGAGCCTCAGAATCCTTGCCTCCAAGGCGCCACCTGGTTTAACCCTTTCCAGGATGAGTCTGTTTGTTTTCTTGGCGGTCCATGGTACCCTCAATACTCTTCTCCAGCACCACAGCTCAAAGGCATCAATTCTTCTTCTATCCTCCCTGGTCATTGTCCAACTCTCTGATGCATAACAAGTGATTGCGAAGACCATGGACTGTACCAGACGCACCTTAGTCTCCAGAGAGACACCATTACTCTTCAGAACTTTAGAAAGGGCCCTAACAGCAGACTTTCCCATAACAATACATCTTTTAATTTCCTGGCTACTGGTGCCAAGAGTGTTGACCATGGAGCCAAGCAAACTAAAGCTGTGAACAATCTCAATCTCTTCACCATCCATCCTGATGCTGCCAATTGGTCCAATGGTGAGAATCTTTGTCTTCTTGACATTGAACCTCAATCCAGATTGAAGGCTGCAGTCCTTGACACTCTGCTGCAAGCGCTTCAGGTCCTCCTCAGTTTCAGCAAGCAGGGTTGTGTCATCTGCATAACGCAGAATTTTAGTCTGTAGTATTTTAAAATAAATCTCAACTGTCTTATAATTCCACCCATAGTCTTTTCATAGGTATACAGCTCTTACTGGTGAGAACTTTTTCTGTGATCATTCTGCCATTACTAACCTAACAATTAGTGATAATTCTTTAATAACATCTCATGCCCTGAGTGTTTTATTTTTCCTATCTGCTTTAGGGGTTTTTCTTCAGTCTTCCTTATACATTGTCCAACTTTCATATGTATAGGAAACAATTGAAAACATTCTGGCCTGGGTCAGGCACACCTTAGTCTTTAAACTGACATCCTTACTTTTTAGCATTTTAGAGAGATCCTTCCCAGCAGATTTTTTCCCAAGGCAGCACATGTTTGATTCTTAACTACGGATGCCATCGGTGGTGATTGTGGATCCGAGAAAATGGAGTTGTTGACAACTTCAGTCTTTTCTCCATCTATCTTTATCTAATGCACAGTGGATTAGGTGTTGGGCTGGTAACCTGAAGGTTAAAGATTCTAATTCCCTGACCTCTCTGAGTGAAAGATGAGGTAGTCCAGGCTTGCAAAAGATTTACAGCCTCTGAAAGGCTATAGGGCTGTTCTATTCTGCCCTGTAGGGCTGCTGTGAGTCAGAATTGACTCAATAGCAGTAGATTTGTTTTGGTGTTATTGTAATAAGTGTAATTTACCTGCAGTGTTGCTCCAGAGTGCTTGATGTCAGTCACAGAACTTCACACTTCTTGTGGTCAGGGGTGTGTCTAACAGTTGATTCCTGATGTGGCTTCCAGGGATACTCCAAAGCCTCTCACAGACTGACTGCAGTCAAAGCTAGCAACGCTTGGCAGCCTCCGAAATCCCCTGGACTCTCACCAATGTTGAATGGAGGATACAGATTTTAAAATGATACCTTGTAGCCCTGACCCTTTTGCCACTGTTTATCTATCCACCAGGGGGCGCTAGCCGACCCTGCCCTGGCAGTCAACTTTTTCTTTTTTGGTGTGGCTTTGGTTTGTTTTGTTGTACGAAATACCTCTTATGGTGCAACCTAGTACAGACATGCATGCTTCTACAAATCTACATATGTATATATAACAAAAATGTCATCAAATTGATGCCTGTTGTGCTGCTAATGTAAAGGTCAGTAGTTGCAATCTGCCGGCTGCTCCATGGGAGACGGGCAGCCTCTTTGCGTAAAGATATTAGCCAGGAAACCCAGCAGAGGATTGCCATGAATCAATTAAACAGCAGTGCTTCAGGTTTTGGTTTTGGTTTTGGGTGTTTTGTTTTATTTTAAAATATGTACTGTGTGGCGCTCTGTGGCCTAATGGATAAGAAGTAGGACTGCCAACCCAAAAGTGGGCAGTTTGAGTCCATCAATTACTCTGGGGGAGAAACAGGGACAATTTCCTCCCATGGGATTTATTGCTTCTGGACACCTGCTGGAGGGTCAGTTTATGGGTCAGTTCCAAATTGATGACAATAAGTAGGAGTCTGAGGCATGTTTTCTGCTCTTTTAAAAAAAAAATTCTTTATCTATCTATCTATCTATCTATCTATCTATCTATCTATCTATCTATCTATCTATCTATCTAATGGTGTGTGTGTGTGTGTGTGTGTGTGTCCTGTCAAATCGGATCAGATATATACAGGAGACTGCCCCTCCTTTTCCAGCAGAGCATCTGGTGGATTTGAACTGCTTGCCACTAGGCCACCAGAACTCCCTCCTTATGCTCTCTTTCAATAAAACAAAAAGGTGCCGTTCCGATGGTTATATCACTCACAGATGGGGTCAAACACAGGGGGAAATGGCAAACTCCGTGTCATCAGTCCGTGTTACTAAGCAGAACTGGGCATTTTGAGGTTTTCTTAGTTGTACTCTCTTTGGAAGCAGTTCACTGGCCTTGAGCTGCTTGTAAACTATAGTTTTGTGTATTTTTTTTTTTTAAAATAGTTATAACTCACTATTTTTTTTAATTACTTTGAACATGATTTAGTCCAATATCCTAGACATTATGGATGAACAACTGTAGAATTAAAGAAAGGACTAGCTCAGTCTTCTCCAGGGCTTAGAACACCTAAGGTGAAGCTTGCAGCATATGACTGACTCTCAGTCATGTTGGTGCTTTCAATATTGCCTCTTTGTTTTTCTTTTTAACTTTTTCTTGTGATTTGAGTAAAAGCTTACAAAGTTAATTGCTTTTCCATTCGGCCATATTTGATTTCGTGTCATTTGTCACAATCCCCACGTTGTAACCCCACTCTTCCTAATCTCTCCTTATAATTCTCACTCCCACTGATCCTCCTAGGTTAGCTTTTCCTTCCTTCTGAGCTCTACTTGTGTGCAAAGGCCGCCCTTTTGATCTTTTTTTCTTCTTCGTATCAGATGAACACTCACTGAGAGCCGTTAGATCGACATGGTCTACCTTCGATCTTGCGCAGTGGTTGCTGTAAGGAGCAGTGCCTTCCTGGGGTTACTGTTCCCCACAGGCCTGTCTGCTGTTTGTTTAAAGCTGAGTCACAGGGGGCGAGCTTAGTTCCAGGCTCAGGTAACGAAGGGTCATTGTCTTATGGGTTCCCCCGATCTCTGTCAGACCAGCAAGCCTGACCGTTGTTGTGAGTTTGAACTTCATTCCCCGTCTCCCACTCTGTCTAGGACATGAACCGTGCTGTTTACTGACCAGCCTGCAGGGGCAGCAGGGCACCTTCTAGCTCTTCTGGTCTCTGGGTTGAACATTGTATATGTGGAATTGTGGTCCTGTTGTTGGTGTTATGTGCCATCAAGTCGTTTGCGACTTATAGCGACCCTATGGACAAGAGTCCTAAATGCCATTCTATCCTGTGCCAACCTCGCCGTCTCAAACACACATTCCCACCACTCCACTCACAGAATCGATCCATCTCATCGAGGGGCTTCTCCTGCGCCATCTGTCCACTCTCCCAAACATGATGTCCCCCTCCAAGGACCATTCCCTCCTTGCAACATGCCCGAAGTATGTCAGACGAAGCTTCAGAATCCTTGACTCCAAGGAGCATTCCGGCTTCACCCTCTCCAGGACAAACCTGTTTGTTCTCCTAACAGTCCATGGTATATTCAACACTCTTCTCCAGCACCACAGCTCAAAGGCATCAATTCTCTTTCTATCATCCCTACTCACTGTCCAACTCTCCGATTGTGGTCCTAGTGACAAAATTATTAAGGCTTCTCCATTTCTCAGGCAGGTTATAGCCACAGAGGTGTGTGCATCTGTGTGTGTTTCAAGCCATCCCCCATGACCTGTGCACTGGGCTTTCCTACCACTGGTGGCCTCCAGTGGGGCATCCCCTCTAGAGCAGCTGCTTCAGCTCAGCCACTGAATCTCAGATACATGCTGGCTTCTGGAATCCTCTCGGGAATCATGCATGTGGGGCTATGAGAAGTTCTGTCCCCTGAGTGCTAACTGTGGGCCTGGCTGTGTGGGAAGCGGTGTCCAGTCTCAGGTGGCCTGGCCCAGCAGTGGTTTGTTCTGTGCGCAGAAGCCAGGCACTGGCCCTTTCAGTCCACTAGGCCGGATAAGTAGCCAGCCATGGGCTGCTCCACCCGCCCAAATGCAGAGGGTGCACGTTCTCACACAGTCCCTTCTCTGTCCTGCAGAATAATGCCTCCCTGAGGACCTTCGCCATTGACTACCACCAGGACTGCTTCCTCAAGGATGGCCAGCGGTTTCGCTACATTTCAGGGAGCATTCACTATCACCGCATACCCCGCTTCTACTGGAAAGACCGACTGTTGAAGATGAAGATGGCGGGGCTGAATGCCATCCAGATGTGAGTAGGACGGGGCCTGGCTGGACCCTGCGTCTGGACTCCCGCGCTTGGAGGGAGGTGCAGCTGCGTTTCTCTGGGCAGCTCGTTCCCTGCAAAACAATGGGAAAAGCCTCCTGTGGCTTCTGGGAGGGGACTCTTATGTGTGTGACTCACGCTTCTTCAGGCAATGAACCTCTTCTTTCAAAATTGGACTTTGTCACCAGAAGTCATAAAGAATATTTGCTTTAAGAGACAAAAAGAAGGAACAGTGGCTCATTACCTAGCATATGCAGAGCAGTTCACACAAGGATCTTCTTTTCTGAAGATTTTTTATGAGGTTTACTATGTACTGTGCCCATTTATAGCTGGACAAAGTGAAATTTGCCCAAGGCTGTAGCTTTGGTTCCAGGCCCAGTTAGGACTTGAACTTGAGGGTGCTCGTAGGCAGCTCTGGGTTCTCTTAGCTCTTAGTGGGACCCACCCTGTTAGATTCTCAAAGCCTTGTGTGTCCACCTGCTTCTGTTCAGGTCACCCAACCAGGCTATAGAGTCACTCTCCCGTTAGCTCACCTCTTCTGTTGCCACCCAGCAGCCTGTGGGAAGGAAGTTGAGGTGTCCAGTCCTGCCTCTCGATTTTTGCAGGGCTGTGTGGACTGCAGATGACGTTTTAAAGATAAATGTTGAGAAAATGCAGAGGCAGATTCCTGGGACCAATAATTAGGGAGACACCCACCTCATTCTTCTGACATTAAAACCATAGGGAGAATGGACTTGGAACCTGTCTGGACTTGGGACACTGGGTACTAGGGACCGATGTTCTTTGTTTCAGAGAACCTTGAAATTGTGGAAAGAACACTGACCGGGGAGACCCTTGTCTCCATATTTGAACTCCGATCCCATGCTGTGCGTGCCAGCAGAGTCAGCAGGGGAATATTGTCATTTTACATCCTGCTGTGCTATTTTCCTGATGACATTTTCAAGCAGGAGGGCATAAGGGTTGGAAGGTTTTCTATTTATATCAAAACATTCCCCCCCGAAAAGCAAATGAACAAATTTAGCTCTTATCTCACTGTGTTAGCATAGATGTTTCATTTTTCTTAAACCCGCACCTTCTTGCTGGTAAAACTCTACTCATTGCCATGGAGTCAGAACAGGCTCATAGCTGACCCTCCTGCAGGTTTTCTGAAACTGTAAATCACACAGGAGACTCCTTGTCTTTGTCCCTTGGAACACCTTGTGGATTTGAACTACCTACCTTAGGGTTGGCAGGGCAGCTCTTTCACCAAGAGGCTTTCAGTGAAAAAGATGGCGACCCTGGAGGGGGTAGATTGGTGGAGTGGTTGCTGCTGTGGGGTGACGTGCAGCCGAGATTGTGAAGATGGCAAAGGTTCGGCAGGGCTGTTCCGCTGTGCAGAGGGTCACCGTGAGTTATATGACTCTGGCATCTAACAACAGCAACACAAGCATACTGAATTTTAATTTTTTTTTAAAAAATATTTTAAATTTTATTATTTTGTGTATGTGTATACCATCAAATTGTTTCTTACTGGTACAGGAGGAGATTGTCCCTCCTTCTCCAGCAAAGCATCTAGTGGGTTCGAACCACGTACCTCTGGGATTATAGTGCAGCTTCATGCCCCAAGCAGACTGAATTTTTACAGAGTGGTAGTTAGTCTCATGCAATTTTATAAGGATTTTTTTGCATTTTGAAAGTTTACACTGTATTAAGATTGTTCTTTTTTAAAAAATATTATCATTTCTTGAAATTTCAAGGTAGCATGTCACCGCTTTTTTCTTTCTTTTTAAAGAATACAAATGAAACGGCAGGAGGCATTCTCCATGGGTGATGCACGGGGGAGTATTTCCAGCAGCAGTGATTGCCTGAGTGATTGCTGTGGAGGCTTGTAGCGAGGCCTCTGTCTGAGAGATGGCCCGGCATGGCCATTCCTGCCTCCTGTGCGTTTGTAATTCTGCAGAAACTCATGGGGAGATCTTGATTTTTGATCTGTTTCTATCTTCCACAGAAGAACTTGTCCAGTTTATAATGCAAAGTATAATTATGAAAGGCTGAACCTGGCTCACAGACAATGAACATGTGTCCAAACCTACTGAATTTAAACTTCAGTGATGTAGGCTTGTGATACCGAAAGCACTGCAAGTAGTACTTCTTTATAGATACATAAATATATATAATAATAAATGTATATTTATTGTATATAATTTTTTTCTACTAGTTTATTTACAAAATTCAAACACAAATTTGAGCAAATTCTTTATTGTATATAATTTTTTTCTACTAGTTTATTTACAAAATTCAAACACAAATTTGAGCAAATTCTTTCAATTTCTCACAAGTGGTACTTCTAAAGGGAAAGGGATTTGGAGACTTGGAGTCTGACTCAGGGTGTTGGCAGGCCTGTGTGTGATGTGCTTCTGGGAGAAGCCTCTTCTGTGTCACTTTCGGCTTCTGGTAACCCAAGAGATTTCTGGCATACCTTTGCCATTAGAGGATTCTCAGATGATATATTTTCCTGTATGTTTCTGATCTCTTTTCTCTATGTATAAGACCCTACTCAGGAATGATTAGGTTAAGGACCCTCCCTGTTCACATATGTCTCCATTACCATCTAACTCTCATTGCCATTGAGTCACAACAGACCCAGAGCCAACTCTCCAGCTGGTTTTCAGAGGCTGTAAAGTGTATGGGTGGAGATTACCCATCTTTCTCCCACAGAGCAATTGGTGGATTCGAACTGCCTGCCTTTGCATTGACAGTGCAATTCCTTACCCACAAGGTCAATAGAGCTTTATTAATATGTTGTTGTTGTTGTTGTTGTTGTTGCTATGTGTCATCAAGTCTCTCATGCGACTCATAGTGACCCTGTGTACAATAGCCAGGAACTCTGCTCTATCCTGTGACAAACTTATTATCTCTGACACATGTACCCCCATTACCCGAGTTACTGAATCAATCCATCTTTTGAGGGTCTTCCTCTCTTGCACTGTTCCTCCACCCTCCCAAGCAAATCTTATTTCCAAGCAGGGTTTCATCTACAGGCATAGTGTTAGGTCTTCAACATACCTTTTTAGAGGACACAATTCCATCCGTAAGAGCTTATTAGTAAGGGAACCAGTTACTACTAAGGCCATTCGTGGGATGACCAGGGACCTGTCTGGACTTGGGAGGTTAAGTTCCCAACTGCAAAGGAGAATTTGAGGAGCAGAGATTCATACAGTCAGTCAAGAAAGGTCTTTGTAAATAAATTCATCTTTAGAAGCAAAAGTGTGTCCTAGAAGTCTTTGTAAAACTGTAACTTTTGGGATTATCGTCTCTGTATACCAGTAATCATTTGTGTCTGTACTAGGCAAAAATGCTGCAGGATAATCAGTTAGCTCACAGAACCTTCCCCTAATCAATAATCAATATGAAGTCCAACAGAAGCATAGACCCCAGAGAAGGAAAGAAGCCTTGGGCAAGTCTGTTAGACGTTGTTCTAATGTGAGAGGAACTACCTCTCTCTCTCCTAATAATGGGGAAAGAAATAGTTTTGCCCTATTTCCAAATTGAGATTTTAGGTAACTTTTTTATATTTATTATTATTAATTTTAGTGAAAGTTTACAGAGACTTTGGATTACCATTCATTCATTGTTGCACTTTTCTCCCTGCCTACCGCTCCCCACCCAGTTCACTCTTCTCTTTGAAAAGTAAAATAAGAAATTATTTCATTGTTATATAAACCCTCCCCTCAAGTCCACTCCACTGTGCAGCCTTCGTTCTGCACTCCTGTCATGACAATAATACCTAATCTTAAATCTCTTTTAAACAGTTTTCTCCCTCATCTGTTTCAATGCAGTATACATGATTTACCCCACCTTTCTCAGTCTCCCCCAACCCCTATGTCAGTCCCATTTTACAACAGTGGCACTATGCATTATTTTTCCTTTTGTGACTGAGATATTTCACTCAGCATAATGTCCTCCAGGGTCATCCATTTTGAATAATATTTCATGAGTTCCTTGTTTTATTTTAGGTAACTTTTTAAAACTTTTTGTTGTGACTTGAGCCAAAGTCTAGAGAGCAGACGAGTATTCCACTCAACCATTTATACCTGTTTTATGTCCCTGATTACAGTGCCCCCATTGTAGCGCCCCTCTTCCCATGATCTCCCAGGGAATCTTGTTGCCTTTGACCATCTGTCCCGTCTCTTCTCACCTTCTGAGGTTTGCCCCAGGCAGCTGCCACCCTTCAGATAAGGCATGGTTGATAGATGACTTTTCGTAGACTCTTCCTTCCTCCTTTATCCTAAGTGCACCATCCAGGGCGCTCAGCAGGCCCCCTCCCACCTCTCCCCCTTGCCCTGAGTGTGTGAAGAGGCCGTTGTGTGTCTCTTGACAGGTACGTGCCCTGGAACTTCCACGAGCCCCAGCCGGGGAAGTACCAGTTTTCCGACGACCACGATGTGGAGCATTTTATCCAGCTGGCTCATGGACTGGGTCTGCTGGTCATCCTGCGGCCTGGCCCGTACATCTGTGCGGAGTGGGACATGGTGAGCGTGGCTGGACGGGGCCTAGACGGGACTCTGGCTGCCTGCTGTGTGTGCACGGGGTGGGGCTGGGGGTGGCAGTGAAATCAAGTTGTTTAGATAGAAGCCTGAGTCTGGACAGTGTGGAACTTGTGACTATACCCCATCAATGGGTCTTGAACCTTAGGAAAGCACTTAGCTGTCATTGTTAACGGCTGCTGAGGTATCTCCAGTGTGTCACGGCGCTGTGGGTGCATCACGGCGTGCTGCACAACACAATGGGGCATGGCCCAGTCCTGTGCCATCTTCAGGATGGCCGGCATGTTGGGGTCCATATTTGCAGCCACTCTGTGGCATCTTCCAGTCTAGGGGCCTCACCTCCCAGAGGTGGCCAGAGAGGGCAGGGGAAGGATGGGTTTTCACTTACTCACAGTGACTCAGTTTCCTCATCTGGGAAAAAGGAGCAAATGCCCTCTCGGGCTCACCTTTCAGTCCAATCATAGCCCGCCATAAGGTGAGCAGTTGCCTCAGGAGGTTTTCATCCCTAAGGACAGTCTGCTCTTGAAGCAGTGAGATGGAGAGGTCTGTAAGTGGCCCAGGCGGGAAGCTCTAAAGCAGCTAGGGAGGAAGAGCAAATGGAAACGTGGGAGGAAAGGCGGACAGTGCAGGAGAGGAGGACAGTGCAGGAGAGGAGGACAGTGCAGGAGAGGAGGACAGTGCAGGAGAGGACAGTGCAGGAGAGGACAGTGCAGGAGAGGACAGCACAGGAGAGGAGGACAGCACGGGAGAGGAGGACAGCACAGGAGAGGCGACAGTGCTGTTCCATGGAGGGATTGCAGCCAGGGTCACCAACCAAAATGGGTTTGAATTGTTGAATGAAAAACCAACTGACTCTGTAAACTCTTACCCAAATCACAATAAAAAGTCAAATCCTCGAATCTTGAAGAAAGAGGAAAAAAAGAGAATGGTGCCTCCTTTGTCTATCTCCATACTATTGTTAGACATCACCACGTTGACCATGACCCTCAGCGGCCCTCTGAACAGCACCTCTGAACCCTGCTTTGTCCTGTGCCATCGTCATCCTCTTTGATATACTTGAGCCCATGTCACAGTCACTGTGTCGGTCCATCTTGTTGAGAGTCTACCTCTCCTGTGCTGAGTAGATGTGAATCTATCTATATAAAAGGGGCTTTGGTTTGCTAAACGTTGCATCAGTGCAGGCTAATGCCATCGTCACTGTATTATACTAAGTTCCCAGAAAGGCATAAATTAGAAAATCCAGCTCTAAAATCCTCCCCAGAGATTGGCGTCTCCCCGCTAATAGTAATTCTCTCTCTCACTCACTCACTCACTCTCCCTTGAGTTCCTTTCATGAACTAGCTCTCAGCGTGGCTTTCTGTTTCGTTTCTCCCATCCAGGGGGGATTACCTGCTTGGCTATTAGAGAAAGAATCCATTTGTCTCCGTTCTTCTGATCCAGGTAAGTTGGTACTATTGTCTTAGAAGGATTTATGAAAATCTAGATAATTTGTATTAAAAGAATCATATTTTTTTTAAAAAATCCATGACCCTGATACAGAGCATGGTCTTTGCAATCACAATCACTTGCTATGCGTCAGAGACACATTGGACAATGTCTAAGGAGGGTAGAAGGAGAGTTGACACCTTTGAGCTGTGGTGCTGGAGAAGAGTATTGAATGTACCATGGACTGCTAAGAAAATGAAAAGGTTCATCCTGGAGAAGGCTAAACTAGGCTGATTCTTGGAGGCAAGGATTCTTAAGCTTTGTCTGACATACTTTGGACATATTGCAAGGAGGGACCAGTCCTTGGAGAGGGACATCATGCTTGGGAGGGGGGAGGGACAGTGCAGGAGAGGAAGACCCCTGATGAGATGGATTGATTCAGTGACTGGAGTAATGTGGGTAGGTGTGTCAGAGACAGTGCAATTGGCACAGGACAGAGCAGAGTTTAGGGCTGTTGTACATAGGATCACTATGAGTCACAGGCAACTCGATGGCACATAACAACAACAACAATATGGCAAATAGTGTAAAATGTTGTTGTGTACCATCAAATTGGAACCGAAACATAACTGACCCTCTCCAGGGTGTTTTCAGAGATAGTAGGTATCGGGGACCTGCCCCGATATATCAAAACAGTTCTGCTGAGAGAAGGGAACGAGGATTAAATGAAGATGCAGAGAGACTACCCGTTGATGACAAATAGCAAATTTACTGATTTTAGAAAAGCATATATAGGTTTTAGAAAACCATCTGCAGTAGCAATCGCATTATCCGAGATGTTGACTATCAGGTCAAACATTAACTCTCACAGACCTCAGCACAATACAAAGACGGTTTCCAGCATGTCTTATTGAGTGCTCTAAGAAACAAAGAGTTTCCGTAGATAACATTCCCTAAGGTCTGAGGCCTTTGGTCATTCTTATTCATTAACATCCTGCTTCTTTGAGTTGTTTATTGCCAAGCAGATGCTCTAGCCAAGATGGAATTAGTGTTGCTGGTTTTACAGTACGGGGCTAATCTTGCTTTGCAAGTTAGCCAGACCTCTGACAAGTAGGTACATTGCACAGGATGAGATTGTCCATCCTCCCATGGAGCAGCTGGATTTGAACCACATGCCTTTTGGATTGCAGTGTAATTTTGTACCACTAGACCACTAGAGCTGCCTATATATAGATAATTATAATCCCAATACTTGTGCATTAGTAGCATTAGCAGTAAAATAGTATTGTCATTGTTGTTAGCTGTCATAAATATTATCAGTAATTATCAAGATATGATTAGATGGCAGATAACTAGTAAAATAATTTTAAACATATAACCCATCAGCTATTCTGAAGGCTGAGCTACTTCTGTGCAAACATTTGTGGGAGTTCAGTAGAGTTTGAGTGTTAGTCATCATCTGTGAGTAGCCCCAGATAGATGTCGAACACGTAGAAGACAAGGCTTCCTTGAGCTGCTGTCCAGATCTTGCTGATAAACTGGGGTCATCAAACGTGACATTGAGTCCCTGCGCCCTGCTTGAGGTTGACCGACTGACTTGACCACTTTCTCCTGCTCTGTTCTTAGTCTCTACTCTGACGCCTAGCTCATCATTATGGCAGCTGGTATCACTGGACGGCTGGGGATCTGCAGTGCCTCCTATCTCCTTGTTTATTTATACAGCAATATGAGAATGAAAGGGGGGATTTTCCCTTTCTTTCTAAAACAATTGAGATTATTTTGCTGTAAACTCAGGTCCGAGAGCTCTAACTGCATTCCTGTCTCTCAAAAGACTTCCATTTCTCTTGTTGATAATGGTGACAGTGGAGGTGGTGGTTGGTGGTGAAGGTTATCATGACCACAGTTAACATTTACTGACTTTCCCTGATGTGTTTTCCTCTTACGTTATGACCCTCAAGATTTGTACTTCTTATGGTTTAGTGTTGTCAAATCAGAACCAACTCAAAGCTGACCTTCCAGCGGGTCTTTAGAGGCTAAAAGTTGCATGGGAGATTACCCATCTTTCTCCAGGAGCACCTAGTGGATTCGAACCACCTGCCTTTGGATTGGCAGTGTAACTCCTTATCCACCAGGCCACAAGAGCTTCCAGAGTTTTTTGATTCGTGTCATATATTTTTTATGCATTATCTCCTCTAACCCTTGCAGGAGTTTTACACAGTATGTACTTTTATTACTCCTGCTTGACGATATAAACTGGAGTTTAATTTTAATAAAAAACAAATCTAGACAACACTCTCTATGAGAGAGAAGGAAACACCATTGATCTTTTCACTCAACAAAGACCTACTGCCTACTTCTTGTGCCCCAGGCTTTGGGCTCTAGTGTCAAGGGCAGATAAAGGACCTACAGGACCTTGGCCGCTAACAGCATGGGACAGCTTCCCTTCAGTCTTGGATTGCGGGAGGTTGCCCCACTGCACAGGTGGTTCCTGGATCTGAGCGTCCCTATGTTTTCTGCCAGCCCCAGCAAGTCGACACTTGAGTGGTGTCTGTACACCGAAAGGTTTGTGATGGTGTGAAATCTGTCTTGTTCTCCAGACTACATTGCCGCCGTGGATAAATGGTTGGGAGTTCTCCTGCCTAAGATGAAGCCTCTCCTCTATCAGAACGGAGGGCCGATAATCACCGTGCAGGTAACCAGGGGCGGTGGGAGGAAGGGCCATCTACCTGTGTTACACACATGCCAAGAGGGAGGCAGAACAAGCTTCGCAAGTCTGTTTTCTTTTACGAGGGGTGCAGCCACACATGATGGCTTCGAGGAAAGGAACCTTGGTGGTGTGGTGATTCAAAGTATTCAACTGTCAAGGGGGCTCTGGTGGCCTAGCGACAAGAGGCTGCACTGCAATCACAGAGGTACACAGTTCAAATCCACCAGATGCTCTGCTGCAGAAGGAGGGACAATCTCCTCCTGTACCAGTCAGATCCGGTTTGATCATACACATAAAAATAATAAAATAAAAGAATTTTTTAAAAACGTATTCAACTGTTAAATAAAAGTCAGTAATTCAAACCTACTATCCATTCCATAGTCTAAGGCACATGGTTCGAAACCACCAGCTGCTCTGCAAGAGAGGGACAGGCAGTCTCCTCCCATGTGATTTACAGCCTCTGAAAACCTGCTGGAGGGTCAGCTATGGGTTGATTCCGACTCGATGGGACTCCACAGTAACAACCACTCCAAAGGGAGCTCTGGTGGCCTGGTGGTACGAAGCTGTGCTGCAATCCCAAAGGCGCAGGTTCGAATCCACCAGTTTCTCCATGAAAGAAGGATAGGCAGTTTCCTCTTATGCAATTACTGCCGCTGAAAACCTGCAGGAGGGTCAGCTATGGTTCAGTGGGTCAGTTCTGATTCAGCAGCACACAACAGCAACAGGCACTCCAAAGGAGAAGGATGAGACGCACTTCTTCCATAATATTACAGACTTGGAAGCTCTAGTTGGACTCTGTCCTGCAGGGTCTCTGTGTGGATTCTGTGTGGTCTGGTGCAGGGGAGGTAGACGGTGGAGCAATGCCCGGGGTTACCACCTCGGTGACGCCAGTCCTCATGAAGTCACACTGCCTCCTCCCCACAATTCTGCCTGAGTCCCACCTCATCTTTGCTGCTTCTTAATGATTCTTTAAATAAGTAATTATTGGCAAGAACAGGAAAACCTAAGAAGCAGAGAAAGACTTGTCACCCAGACCTCCGCAGGGAGAAGCAAAGCTCTGCATCTTGGGTGATTTCTTTGACTCTGCCAGGTTTTTGTTTTCATTTTTATAGGCCAAGTTCAAACTGTGTGACCAGTTTTCCTACCTGGATCTTGGGTCACAAGCAGTGTTACATGGCATGAATTTTTTTATTCTTATTGTATTTTATTTTATTATATTTTGTGTGTGTACCGCCAAATCAGATCTGACTGGTACAAGAGGAGATTGTCCCTCCTTCAGCAGAGCATCTGGTGAGTGAATTTTTTTAACGCATCCTCATCCATGCTTGCATAGCTTGTCTTCTGACTGCAGTGGACACACGTGCTTGTCTGTCCGGCAGTCTTCCCAGGTGACTTAATCGGCTCCCACGGGACTCACACTGCCCTCAGTTGGAGCCTCAGCTAGTGAAGCCCTTGAGCTTGACTTCATCTTTGTCCAGACGTATGATTCTTCTCCTTCCCTCCCCACACTCGTGTCTGCCCGCCTTGAGGTTGCATCATACGCTGGTGGAAGGGATGGTTCTGAAAGGGGCTCGAAGCCACTGAAGGAGGGTCAGGGGACAGACAGATCATGTTTCTGTTTATTGCTTTCTCTAAAGTTCAGTGACTGTCTCTAGTAACTCAGGTCAAGGGCGGAACAGACTGGTTTTACCCAAGTCACAATGGTGCTCTGTCTGGGTGCTCAGATTTATGGAGCCTGTGTCGCCATATCCAGGGTTAAAATGACCCGGGTCAGAAGGTTCACATTCCTGCATGATGCATGTAGGGCCCTTCCCACTGTTGATTTAGGGCTGCAGGAAGCCGTGCCCGGCCTTCCCTCAGCCTTGTCAGCCAGCCATCAACGCGGGTGCTTCTCTTCTGCACAGATTATCTAACCCACCTGTTGATGTGTTATGCTTGGAAGTTCATCAAAGTTTGTACAAAGACCACACCAAAACCAAGCAAAGCCAGAGACACCTGTGAATAGTAGGCAGCGTGAAAATGAATTAGGAGTGGGTGACCTTCCACCCACCCTTTTGCTTCTTTCAATTAATGGGGTGTGAGTCATGAGGTAATAGCTTTGTTTATTCCTGTATTTTTAGAAGTTTGTGATGATGGGTTCGGAAACTTAAAAGAGGGCTAATAAGACTTTAGAAAAAGGTCTTGTAAACTACCGTCTTCATGGGCCAATGTGGCCCATGGTCTGCTCTTGTGAATAAAGTTTTATTGGAACAAAGCCATGCTCATTCATTTATATATTGTATGTGACAACTTTTGCACTATGACAACAGAAGTCAAGTGGTTGTAGCTGAGAGTGGGTGGCCTACAATCCTAAAATATTTACTCCTTGGTGTGCTTATTGATAAACTCTGTTGACCTTTACTCAAAAATCTGGATTCCTTTTAATTTCTCTGAATTTTAAAAAAAAACTTTATTACTTTTTTGTGTGTGCACCATCAAATCAGATCTGACTGGTACAAGAGGAAATTGTCCCTTCTTCTCCAGCAGAAGATCTGGTGGATTCAAACTGTGCACCTCTGGCATTGCAGTGCAGCTTCTTGCCACTAGGCTACCAGAACTCACTAAATTTTTTGGTGTGAGTTTTTGAGATCTTTCAATTTCTATTTGTTCACAGGCGTTATT